TAAGCCCTCATAGTTGGTCGAGAAAGCTACCAGTTTGCGCGACAAAAGAGCAACCACCGGGCCATCCGTCCGTACGGAATTTATTATTATTATACACGAGTATTCAATAAATTTGAGTAACGCTTTTTTTGTAACTGTAGAAACATTTTACAAATAAACTAGCCTTATTTCTACGTACAAATGATTGCATAACGCAGACAGTTTAAAATTGTAGTGATTTAATGAATTATTATTTGTATGTACGTAACAAAGACTTTCATGCAAACAGAAATAAGTTCGGCGAAATTATTTTTTTATTTGTTTAGAAAATAAAGTTGAAAATAAAAGCCGTCTACGTAAACACTTTATTTTTAAATGAGACAATAATGTGAACCGTAATAAAATGAGTCAAAAATTAAAGTATTGAAAACTTGAAAGTAACATTTTACTTGTTAGGTTTAACAAAATGTGCCTAAGGAAATTTTATGTAGCCAAGAAAATTAGATCTGATTAATTTCTTTGGATAATAAAAACATAATCTTATTAAGCGTTCTCTTTCACTGACAATTATTGTTTATAATACACTTGATAAACCAATTTTGTCGTTTCATTCAAATAAAATACTAGTGTTGCGTACTTAATGAGTACATTTTTTTATAACATGTAATTAAATCACCATTTTAAAATTTGAACACTACACATTTTTTATAAGTTAATTAATTTGTCAGTTCTTTTACATAATTCATCTTTATCTGATTAATTTTTTACGTACATGAGTCAGTTCTTCCAAAATTTATTTGTTTTTTAATTTCGTTCTTTTCTTCGTTGTGTAGGATGCTGGAGTTTAGTTTCAATTTAAAGGAACTGACTACGTTTTTAAATTTTTGCTAAAAAAACATTTATTTTGAGAGATTTGTACATATATATAGCACAAATGAACGCCTGATGTGGGTCCAAACGTTTAAATTGCGATCTCTGCAATATGTATATTAAAAAAAATGTATGTTCTAGACTCATTCATCTAGAACAGATTTGCAAATTTTAAATATTTTTTAATGCTTGTTTACATCCTGATAATATAAAAAAGAATAACGTGTTGTGGAATTATTTTATTTTCTGTTCAATGGTCAAATCTGACTGTGAAACCAGTGGCTCTTAAAAAATATTTCCTTTAACTGTCGGAATTAATTTGGCGAACGTGATTATTTTATTATATTTGATACATAAGATAAGGTATAGCCCACGCCCTCGAACCAAAATTTATTGAAACGATTGACTCATAAAAAAAATTATCGATAATATTTCCATCCCTAGTGGTATTACTATTGATTATATTAGGAACGGCTCACTCCATTTTCTCAGAAAATTTAGCAATACTATACTGTTATTATTAGTATTACACTGGACCAATCCAACTTGATGACGTCATCACAAAACTTTGTGAAGTAAAAACTCATTTGAAACAAACGCTCAGCACGCTTCTCTACGAGCTGCGAGCGTTTTCTACATTTGTAACCATTTAGAAACACTGAAGACGTCATGGATGAAAAAGTGATAACTATAACTATATATATTAAAAAGTTTTTACAAAACAAAATAAAAATTCATAATCTTTGTATGTATTTCATTGATTACTATGTTTTCATTTCCCGTTTTGGTTTTTTCCAAATAAGTAACTATAAATGCGGTCCGAGAGTTTCCGCTCTTTTTGCGCTATCAATTTCGCCACTGTTTCACTTTATTTGTGGTAACAGTGAATATGGACACTTTCTCAGCACGACTTAGAAACAGATACGAGTATCCAATGTTACACAAACATGAGAAATATTTTCTGTCCATTTACAAAAATTTGTGTTTTTTAAATAAATTATAACCGTACAAGTTACTCCTACTGAATAGTCAGTGGGTAAAAATGAACCGCCTTTTTATATTCTTATCGGGGCCTTTCTTTCCCATCTTGGCTACTGTTCGCGACCACAGTTTACGTAGTCGCCTGCATACGTGTTAACATTGTAACGTGCACTAAACCATTGTTAAAATCAATTTCATCGCAAAAACAATTCATCTTAAAAAGATTTGTTATGAGCTTATACGTGTCACAAGACTCCCTGATCATGCCGGGAAACTCGTGACAAACACACTGACCATCAACTTTACTTTGAACATTGTCAACCGTTAACGTTAATAGCAAGTTATTCTAAATCATAATATTTATGCCGCATTGTAGAGTTAATTTACATATAATTATAAAGTACATACCTATGTACGACGTATAATTTGGTTTGTTTGACACAGACAGAATAATAACGAAATTCGTTGACAATGCTTACAACAGATAAAACAGTCTGCTGTGCTCTAGATACATCTAATATGCAAATTGTACCCAGGTAGGAGTTTAAAATCACAGGTCTGGTGAGAAATAGAATGAATGGAAATGAAATTATCCATTTTTGCTGTCACTCTGCTACAAATGTCGGCATTTGGGCCTGTTTTTTATTCATCCATATAAAAAATTAGAACAGAAATGAATCTCCTCCATTACTTGTGTTATTTTCTCAAACGTAAGTATGAGTGATTGATTGAAAGGCGTATCAGAAATGAAATTTATTTAATTTTAACACATTGATATTTCGTTCTCAGATTGTCATGACTGGTCATGAGGTAAGTTGCAGTTTTGTACTTTAGAAAATAATAAAGTTAAATTTTTGTAAAAAGTCATTGTAAATAACAAAATAAAGACGGCAGTTAAAAGTAAATGTGATTTCTATTCAGTTCTATTTCTACCAATAGTTATTTGCAAATGGTGGATTTTTATTTTTTGTAATGATTTTAAATTTACTTTTAGTTTAATTTAAGATTTAGTTAGTTAGTTTTAGCTGGACCACATAATTCTTTTCCGAAACTCATTTCGACTTGGTTAGTAAGTTGGAATATAATAGGAGTATTTGATTAATAATTTTTGAGTAGATATCGAAGACTCCAAATAACTGAAAAGTCAGGTACAAAGTTGCAGAGGTTTTGGATGATGTACAATATTATCCAGCAGTAACATAGAAGCAAGAGTTTGACGGTACGTTAAAGTTGATATATCTGAACGTTTAAACTGTACATCGTTCGGAATGAATTCGTCTAACATGTATACCTCATCTTTAAGAAAATATTGAAATTTTGTAAATCTGTGCCACGATGTAAATCCTATATATAAGATTCCAAAAACGTGAACGATACTAGACTAGACTGAACATAGGTCTAGAATACACACTTATATTGTACTAGAGTTTCAAATTACAAACCCAAGAGAATTCTATGTAAGTCGACGGTACAACGTTCTGTACCAACATATGTTATTAAATTTTAACTTTTTGTCGAAAGTTTCACCAAGATTGCATATGTAAGCAGGTCTTTGCAATACTGAACCATCTACTATACACCACAGTATTTAGCTTTCTGATTTGACGACGCACTCTTTGTTATTCATTACAAGTTCAGTTTTAGTTGGTCAAAAAAATAAATACTAAACAAAAGCGACATAAAACAATGTTCCAGTTTATCTGAAGAACTATAATAATTTATTTTTTAATTTTTATCTTTAATATTCAATAATTTGTTGGTTTCTCACAACACTACATCGGGTTAATTCAATCATAACTAACAGCATCTTACACATATAGACGTTATAGTACATCAAATATGAAATAGTACCTACTCCTCAGAGTTGTACTAGAATTTTAACGGTCATAAGAATATAAATTTTTAAATTATACGATTTTACTTACTTGCAACTTTGCAAGTCAAAGTAATATGCATAAAAATAATAACATTTCCCTCCTTTGGAAGTAGCTTTGATCACCTTGGGTGATTCGTGCTTCCAAGGTTTACGATGCGCAAGCATAGCAAGTGTGATATAATTAAAAGTGACGTTGCAAGTCAAAGGAAATATGCATAAAATCTTAGTTCATGTGATAACACCAAGCAGAAGAGTAATATATTACTATAATGTCGCCTTGGAACAAACGAACTCTGTTAAGGACATTTAAGTCTATAAACATTGGTTTAATTTCACTATAATAGTAAAAGTAGAATTTCTTTTTCTTTAATTTACGTAAAGTAAGTATATTCGTATATATTGACAGCAAGCATTGAAAGTATTACTACGCCCTTCATCGTGCTGGATGTATATGGTCAACACAATCTCGTAAATCGTCACAATTTACAAAATGGAGTGTATTCATGGAGTTACATTTAACTGGGCACTCACAATGGACATTCACTAGTGGTTTAAATTAAATTTCGTGTCATTTTTCACTCAACGAAATGTAAATTTTGCTTTTATACCGGAGGACTATTGCTACTAAGTGTACGCAACAGGGAAACTAATCCCTTCTAAGAAAGTTAGAAATACAGGCAATATGTGGGTAATTCGTGCGTTGGCGGGCATTCTACATGCGGTTTTGTTCCAGTTCAACGACATAATTGTGTAACATTTATATTTGCGAGCTGTGGTTTCGCTTAATTCATACGAATTGCAAGTTATAATGGCTCTAGTTAGTCATGTATATGATACAGAATATCTCAGCCCAGCTTTCATGGCCTAGCATAATGCCCAACAGCGGAAATGTATGTGGATGGTGTATTTATCACGGCATTTCTGAAAAAAATCCTCGCTGGGTTTAAAATAAACAGCACGGTTTGTACACATGAGGGGATTATTTAACCGGAATTTTTATTGCCCATTTAACTTTTGCACGAAATGTGTATACTTTTAAACCCGCAATGGCAAACAAGAAAATGCTAATGAGGAGGCTCACTTTATGTCAGCAATCGTAAAAGATAAAAATTGCTTTTATGTACCAGGTGCTATTATATTCAAACGCTTATTACGCCAAAGTAAAATTATCTTCTTTAATGAAAAATACACGCTGAAGGCACCGGGATTTATTCTACAACCTCAAAAGCACTTATCCAAGAATGAATCTTAATGGCTGCCGCTTCTTACATCTATTTCTTTTCATTTTTTTCAGCAGATCTCAGACAGATCAAGGAACTGAACTTTACAACATGCCCAGTAGGAGCGGCTCGTGGGAAGCCCCGTTCTTACTCCTGCTTTCATCTTTCTTCAGCGCCTACGGTAAGTTTATTTTGCTGCTTTTAAAAACGATTACTAAAAAAAAAATCAAAAAATTTTTGTACGCATGGTGTACTATACTTTTATTACTTATTTTAGATATTTATAACTAAATACTGATATGTGTCATAACAGAGACTTTACATTTACATATCTTTACAGTTAGAACGTGCATTTGTGACACGAACCGTTAGACGAACGAAAAAACTGATGAAATCTTTAAAGGAAACGTTGGCTTCAAATTTTATAGCATATTAATAAGTATATACTACAATTTAGATTAAATAACTAAGGTTCTAACTTTTAAAGTGGTAGCATTCATGAAAATATACTACCTTTGTCACTATGTAACATTAACTAGGCTAAATATTCATAAATTACTTAAGATTGTCTGTTTTTTGAATGTTAGACTTTTCATCGCATAACCAACACAGTATCCACATATGCACTTACTTTCATATACATTTGAATAATTTCTGCTTCCCAAAAATAAGCTAAAATGTATTACAATAGAGTCACTTCAACAATGTCTAATTCCAAGCTTATTCGATGATGGCAACTCGTAGAATATGAAAATGTCGCTGTTTCGGTTTTATGTCTCTTTTTTTATTTGATTTAGTAGATAGATCATTAATTAATTAATTATCGAAGCTGCAGAACTGATAATTTTGAAACTTTTGATGGACTTTAAAATTACATTACAAAACTTTAACAAAAATCTGTTCACTGTCTCCAAAAAACTGAAGCTATCATATCAAAATATTGTTTAACCAAATTTCACTTGAAATTTATAGGGTAACATGAAGTTTAATAATTAATCTGTCCATATTTATATTCTGACGCTTATGAATTATACAAAAAATATATAAAATTTGTAAAATGGGATTTTATAATTCCTCCAGAAACATACAACGTGGGTGAGAGTTATGAGATATTTTTAAAAAATGGTATGTATAAATTGAAATTTTATAATTTGTTTAGAAGTCTGCACTATGTATGTTTTTGAAATATTTGGTGGTAGACAGAAGATGTCTTAAAATAATAAATGTAAGAATCGACGTCTGTGTAATGTGGTAAAATATTGCAGGTCTTATATCCATTTACCAAACGGATAGTGTGATTTCAAACCGTATTTTCACAACCTGAATACAACAGATTAGTTTTAAAATTAGTCTGTGACATTTATTGTTGTTTACAATGTCGTCACTACCTACTTAAGCTCAATCTTTTCTGCATGCTATCAATTGTCAATTAAAAATTTTGCTTTATACAATGTTAGCAACAAGAGTTTCATTTAAATCAAATGAATGTTTCCGAGGTAATTCATGAACTTTTATGTTCAACTCAATCATAATTACCTCAATTATGATATTATCCACAGTTCATAATCTGCCTCATTATCGTACAAGTACAATAAAAATTATGTTTTGGACTCCAGTGGTGTCAGCTAACCATAATCTATCACTTTATTTTACTGTAAAGTAATTTGAACTGCAACACAGTTCATAGGACAGTGACAACGGGAGCGCCTACTAAACATTATTAACAATTTTAACATGGAGGTGAAAAAGTTGCAAAGAAAAAATGTACCTATGTCACACGTAAATAATGCCTTTTATTGGACCTGCCCCTTCATTAGAGTCGCGAGCAAGCTCGCTCAACCATAAAACGGCGCGTTCAATAAAGCTATGCATTATTTACTTGTAACATAAATATTGCTATTAGTTAATACATTAATTTCTCTGATGACAGTAAAAAGACGTGCTGAATTAGGAATTGCAAAAAATAAAAGACTATTTCTGGACTACGAGAATTAATATTGCTATTTTTCAATAAAACTGTGTTTAATATATTTTGAAAAAGGAAAATTGAAACACAATAAGAATGAAAAATTTTAACCGGAAACAATATAGAAATATAAAAACGGTTTAAAGATGAAGGTAACGATAGGAAGGATGGCCCGATATTTCCAATGAACAGAAAAGAGTAAGGGCACATTAACAGTTGGGGATAACACTGTTGAATACAGCAGCAAAACTATAAGATAACTGTTAGAGAATCAATTAAAGAAGAAAGAAAACCACAACGGACGCAGGCAGAAGACCACACAATATGTACTGTAAAAGAAATTATAATTAATTAATTAAGATATTGACAACAGAATACACAGTATTTGTGGCAATTCTATATTAGGAGAAGGCATTGGATACAGTTCCCAGATTTAAAATATGGAATTTTCTGCAAAACAAAAATGTTAAACACAAACTCAAAGCCTGTACAGGGAACTAGTAACTATGTAATGTTGAGCAGTTGATATTGTGCATCACAAAAAAAAAGTAAACAAGAAGTCAAGAAAACACTAAACCATAGAACGGGACCCTTACGGAGTGAAAATAAACATATGAAAACAAAAGTATTGCCCATTTCGAGAAAGCAAATTGAAGGTATAGAAATACAGCAGGTAAGAATAAATAATAAATAAATAAATAATTATATAAATAGCAAATAACGTGTATATGCAATAAACATGAGATCTGTATTAAGAAAAGAAGTTACAAAGCACACGAAAATTAAAGTTTACAAATTAATATACAGCCCATTACTCACTTACGGGCGTGCATGTTTCACTGACGAAGCAGGAAAAGAATAACAATAAATGAAATTCGTGCGAAAAGTCCAAGGCCGACGGATATAGGAACATGCAGCTCAAAAAGAATCACAAATAGGATATATACAGTCAATCTTGAACATCATTTTTCTGTCATTTTGAAGTTACAACTAGCCCGTAGAAATTTATTTAATTTTGGTCTATTGTAAGACTAATTGTAGTGTCACTCCTTTTTCTGTCTTCTAGCAAACGAGACGATCGTTTCTCAGATACCTACTCCATAAACTAAATTTATTTATACATCAACTTTATACATCACATTACTGAATTGTATGGCTAAATAAATTTTAATTAATATTATATCATTTCTTGATCTTGTCAAAATTTTGAAGGCATCTATAGTTACCCAAAAACAAGCAAATTTGATAGCAATTTTTTTTGACCTGCAAGCAACTATTAAAATAAGCACGATTTAGGTTTGAAATGAAAAAAAAATATATAATTACGAAAAATGTTTAATAAGATATCAGAAAACAAACCGTAATATTCAAGGAACACATGTAATGGACAATTTGTGTTTTCATATTCTACGAAATGTATAATTACAAAATAATATGAAATTAGACACTTATTACAATCGTTCTTTTACAGCCCCTCCTTTGGAGATACATATATTTTTACGATTATATCACATACGATCTACATTGTTAAGAGCGCTGGTAATGAATATTATCCAAAATATTTAACAGGTTTCATAACGTTCAGGGGCGCAGTGTTATATGCTGTTAATAAATTTTGTTGAGTTCGTTAAATTTATCAAATTTCTGCATTCCTCTATTCTGTTTAATTTACAACTCAATTAAAATGATATAAACTAAACAATTTTCCATTACAATGATCAGCATGGAGTTAATTCTCGCGTAAATTTGTTAATTTAACAGTTGGTGTGCAAGTTTAGACGCACTTTACAGTACTTCCCGCTACTCACTGCAAGTAAAGTGCTTCTAAACATTTGCAATCCAACTACGTGACGTTTATTCTCGATGAATAGTCACATCAATAACTTGTCTTAGGGATTATATGTATAAATAATAGTGGAATTATTTATTGTTTGCGTCAATAAATATCTATTTACTTTAATTGAGAGAAATTTGTAAGATCTTCAAAAAGTTAGTGTTTTTTTATTTCCGCCAGAGATTTTTCGACATTTATGTCCACATAAATTAAATATTATTACAAAAATATAATTAAAAAAATTATATAAAATGATACTCCTATAAATTTAACAACAATCTTCCTTAATGGAAAGGACATTACATAACATGTCGTCTTTTTCTTGCTCGTATTTATAAGGAAATTCACTTTTCAATTTTTACTGATTTATTATCGGTCAGCAACAACTATATATTTTAACGCATTTTTGCATAGACACATGTTTGTTTATCTCATCTAATTTCTAAACCAAAAGCGATTACATTAAAGATGCGTCAAATACAAAATATGGCTGCCTCACTCATAATTTTGTCTTTTATTAAAAGACTAATATAATATTACTATTTATGTGTAGGAAAAGAACACAAATTCAACAACAATAATAAAAAAAAATGCGTAGGGCGCCATTATTACTTTTTCTACCGAGAGAGCAATAAAAAACACGGTCAAAGACAGCCATGGACGTTTGAAATTTTGTTTTTGATATAATTTTTGTGTTGTCAGATTATCGTTAGTTTGACAGTGAGTTGAAAATGTAAAGGCGGCCACACATAGAGAGGCAAGATTGACTATACTCCTAGTGTGTGAGAAAAAATGTGCCAAGTCCATTTAAATCAAAATTGTTTTGATTTTTAACGTGCACAGTTATAACTGCGCCAAGATAAGTTACTGTGTATGGAGACAAGTCGCTGCATACTTGAGTTGTAATTCAGTAGCGCCGTATTCTTAAACGATGTCTAAACTTATTTTAGAATTGTTTTTTTTTATAATACAAATGCACTCCACTGTCATCCAGTATCCAGTAAATATCTTTTTTGGTTAAGATAGCGATGCACATTTGCTACAGAACTGATGGCGAAGCAGTAGTGTGTGTGTCTACACTTAGAGAGTACGGGTTTAATTTAAGACAAGCCTACACAGTTTTAACTGCACGGTCGTTTCTCCCTGTGTGAGTGGCCGCCTTAACGATCAAATACAATCTTTTAAAAGTCCATGGCTCTCTTTAATCGTGTTTTTGTTGCTCTCTCGGTATATTAGCTACATATTCGTAAATTGAAATTTTCATAGTTGGGACTTGGAACAAGGCTCGTATTCCGTTGTTTCAATGGTGTCGCAAAAACATTCTTGGCATTCTAATTCGTTAAATTTCTGAACTTCCGCTGTTAACTGAAGAATATTAATT